TATACAACGAACCGTGAGATCGTGGAAAAAACACAGGAAATTTTACATTAATTATTATTTATCGAGAGCTTGATTTTATTCTGAACGAGCTGCGTCACTTGGTAGTTTAAATAAATGTATACACATCATGCATTCTTAAAAATTATTAACAACATTCCATGGTCACTCTTCTGAAAATTTAATACTTCGTTATCTCGAGTTTCGTTAATATAATTATATTAAAAATTACTCTTCCACGGTTGAATCTTAATAATTACTATTTCTTGTATTATTTGGAATAAACGGAATAACTTTAACGTTTTCTTGATACTAAATTTTGTGTATTTTTAGTACAAGCTCTTCGTTGTAAATTCACCGCGTGTATTTAAATAACGGTATTACTTCCAATAAAAATTCTAACGTCAATATTTGACGTTAAATCGTGTGGAAGTTTCATTTAAATCGCTCCTTTATTCGTTATTCAAGCTTGCGACGATAAAGGGCTACACGACCGAATAGTCAAAACATAAATGATCGAGTAACACTCTTCGGTTATGTATTGACTTTGCTGTTCAGTAATTTAACTTCGACGAGTGTTGAAATGAAACAATCGTCCATCCAGTAGCTTAAAATGCTTCTAGAGCAGAAAATGGTCGGGATGAGAGGATTCAAGTATTCTGTTCCGTTTGAAAATCCGCTGAATATTTGCGGGGAAATCCTCGGGAAATGCGTGCGCGCGTGCATTAATGTGTTTGATCGGCAAACAGGCTAAGAAGCTTTGAGAATGGTCGATTGTAGTCTCCTCAATCGTTCTACTTTTTTTTTTTTTTTTAAATTTCTATTCTACTTCGCCGCGATGGGGAGACTTTTCCCAGCGATGGAAGCTTTCATCGTATTTAAACAAAAACCGAGTAAAATTTTCAGTTCGAAAAACACTTCACATGCTATCTTGATGTAACAAATAGTACCTAGTCGTACAAATGTTTTAGATGGGAAGAGAAATTGTGACAAATAGGATTACATTTATTTTGATAACGTGCAGCGCGAAGTAAAATATTTTTACGCGGTATTTGAAATATATCCTCTAGAAATATTTTTGGACGATGAAAGTAAAATGATTGACGAGGGAATATTCTTATGAATTCATTTAATGCTTTACATGTGACTCGTTTCTTCTTGCTACGTCTGTAAATATTTCTTTTTCCCCAAGAATTTACCGTCTGGTTCTGCATTTTAATATTTGTTCCGACAGTTTATCAAGCCATCGAAATATATACGAACGGGAACGAATACTTTTGCGATCTACTGTACACAAAGAGGATATGTATCAGGTTTTTTCGTCGTCTAATTATTTTGCTACCATAACCAGACCCCCCCCCCCAAACGTATTTCATAATGAAAAATGCGCTCCATGGTTTGTTTCATTACTTTATCGTCGTATGCGAGACCCCTCCCTGACATATTATTTTTATAATCCCCGTTTTTACTTTGTCGCGCTTTAAATCACGTCTCCTGTTTTATTAATCGTAGACCTAATTGAAAGCCGAGATGCCTCGGCGTATAGATTTCCAGTACATCGATTAATACTAATCTGCTGCTTGGCGAGGCATTATAACAATAATTCTTGCTCCCAAATTTATTGTAGAAATATTCACATTGGCGTGATATTGCGATTCTGTCACCATTTTATTGAATTAGAAATGTTGATGAACATGTTTCGATGGATTTTCTTCAGAGGTACTCATGGCGGAAGCCACATGAAGGTGGACACTTGCTCGACTGTGACGTCTTTGAACATGATCTAGGATCCTAGGATCGTTGAGTATTCAAAGTCTCCTCCACCAATTAAAAAAAAAAAATAAAAAAAAAAGATAGATAGATGAATCCCCATAAGAATCGCGGATCGACCTTGAAGGGATTGTTGGATATTCGAGCAGCTGTTACTTGTTCCTTTGGCCCCTCCAATGTGCAGTATGTACTTCCTGACGAGCCTCTATTGATTTCAAGAGAGACGCAAGTTGCTCGAGTACCCGAAGAGTTTCAAACTCCGCGATCCTCAAACTTAACTCCTGGACCTGCATAATTGACCACCGAGCAACTTCATTTGTCGATCAATCTGTTCCCGCTTTGCGTTAATTCTCCGAACTAGGTAGAGGGTATAGATAGTGTCGCGTAGTGTTACGATGCCTCAAAACTTTTAGTGTACCTTGCACGTTCGGTTTATCTAGGACGTTTACTATGTTTCGAACATTCGGTATACCTCGTACAGTTGGTTTATCTTGTAAATTTAATATCATGTAGATTTTATGTATCTCGCGAGTATAAGCACGCAGATTTAGTGTACCTTGATAATATGGCATATCATTATTATTCCCAAATCATATATATTATTAGGTCTATCGGATGGTTCTGTCGGTTCTGAGTGCAACAAGTTTCATTGTATCTCGAAAACGAAACTTTGGATTGCAAATGGACTTTTCGGTTTCTCTTTGCACGAGGAATTCGAACATTTCGGTTTGTCAAACATTTTTGAAACATGTTGTATGTATTTATATGTATATTATCGTATATTAGCTATATTACACGTACTATATTATTATTATATAACTGCACATCTGAGAAAGAGAATTGTCCCGCTTTACAGCTCGTTAATATATGGCTAGATGAATCGTACGTTTTTTCTCTCGATATTCTACAGAGGAAGACGTTTAGGTCGCTGGTCTCAATGCGTCAATCATTTCTTTTCTGTGTCGTCCTTTGAAATGGGAACGGGTATATCGCGTTGCCTTCGACAAACGTTCCAGCTTTAATGGTTCGAGCTAGCCTTCGTTCGCGAGCAAAAAGGAAAGCGATCCTTTTTTTCGGCGGAAAATAAAGTTCCCTGAGTGAAAATGTTTATTGGAGAAAAAGGGCCGTTCCAGCTAGAATAACCGAAAATTCGAAAAAGTTCACCTGAAAGGTAGACCGCGGGCAAGAATTCTAAAATTTTTTGCGAATTTCATCGCGAGTAACTAAACATCGTTAGCGTAGTACTCGAGATAATGTAATCTCCGTAGTATGACAATGAATCACGTCGGCTGAGTTTGAAAATCTAATGCCAAGGGATTAAGGGAACAGTCGAGCCTTGATGTCGCGAAACGTGGTTACTCTTGCTTTTTCGAGTAAGTACCTGTAAAAGCCGTTTTCCAAATGCTTTTCGGGGGCTCTAACCACCAAAAGATTTTACGTTCCTTAACTTTATTCGCTGCTGTGACGCTGATGGATGCTGCGCGTCCTCGGCGTATTCGAGGAGAATGGTGGTATACTACATAGGGTGGTCCATGAATTCTTTCTCGTGTTTTTTTTCTTTTTTTTTTTTTTATTCAAGAGCATTATACTTAAAGTAACGCAATATCGAAGGTATAAAAAATTGGAATTAAAAGGTATGTAAAATGTATATGTCGCAGGGAAATGATAAAAACAGAGATTTGATCAAATCCCCGAGGTGGATGATCAATTCACGGGAGATGTTAAAATAACAACTCTGTGAGGTCATTTCCCTAAAGAAAGTGATTTGATCAAATCTCTCAACTGTTTTAGTGAAAAGATGAAATTGTATAATTTGATCAAATCCCTTAACTGTTTTAGGGAAAAGATGAAATAATATTGTTTAGATATTAAAAGTATTTATTTAGTAAATCACGCGTTATTAAAAGTAGAATAGGTAATACAACAATACTCATAGAAACATAAATTATTTATTCGAGACTAATTAGCAAAAGAAATATAGACATATTAAACGTTTTGCCAATTATTAATGGATGCTCGAAATTTGGAAATTTCGACTGTCGACTGGTATTATCAGATGTCATCTGGCTGCGAAGACAAAACGTGCGCGGCTGGCTGCAACGAAAATCCCATTGTTCGCCGGGACTTTTGTCTCCCAGACGTATTCACCGAATAATTGTCTACGCGAAAGGGACAAGAACACATGGAAAGTCGCGCTCGCATGTCAGGTACGCGCGTCGTCGCGTCCCATGCTCGAGATTTATGTGTTTCCGCGGAATTATCGGGAAAGTCACGTGGAAAGCTGCTTTACGATTCCAACGTCCACGTCCAGAGGCGGATCTAACGTATATCTGCCGAAGCTTAACCCTTTCCTGTCCAGATTTGCTTATTTCGGTAGAATTCTGTCGATCGAGGCTCGGCGTAACACCGTGAAGGGCTAAAGGAAGCTTTGCTTCCTGATTCTTGCAAGTGTCACTTTTTGTACGTCAGACCGTTTTCCGTTAAATTTCTACACAGAATGAGATAACGAGGAGAACGTGCATCCACTTTTTATGTGTAAAGATCTCATTACGGTCGCGAGTATCGTTAATAATTGATTTAACTTATTGTCAGAAATATGAGCATAAATATCCACAGTCTACTTAATATATTCGCAACCGATACCGATACGTTTCAAACAAATTCTTTTCCTCGAATTCCCATGTAAACGAATTTTATTCGATACTCTCTGTACGTTTTATTGAGAAACTATACCTGCTAAAATCACTCTGTACGTGAAAAATACAAAAGACTCGGCTGAAATGAAAGACACTCGTTTGAATGAAGTCTGCGCCAACGGTAAACATTAGAGTTCCTCTCGAATGGCACGCAGTCGGCGACTTCGCCATAGGCTCGAATAGTTGAAGGAAAAATAGGAAACCTCAGTCGCGGCTGTACTTGTAAATCGCGTTGGTACGCGTTAATGTTTCACGTGTACTTTTTTCTATGTACTTTTTCCCCGGGAACTTTCCAACGTACACCGGCGCAGAAAAAGTTTCCAATTTTCGGTGCTCGTCGCGCCGCTGTTGAGAAACTCCCTGACGTTCGACGTTTATTGCAAAAGCGTACCGTGATCTACGATACTGGTTGGCCTTCCAGTTCGCCGACACCGTACATTTTGCACCGTAGTCTCTCCGTGTTGTAGGAAATAGGAAAAGCGTATTAACCGTCGTTCTGTAATAAATTATTGACAGGCTTCGATTTGTTTGTTTCAGTGATGGCGCACAAACATTGCGAGTCGAACGGTACCTGGTTTCGCCATCCGGCGTCCGATCAAGTCTGGAGCAATTACACGACATGCGTAGACATGAAAGACCTCAATGTAAGTATATCGAACAAGGCCTCGTAATAATTTTGCTCGTTCGTTAAGAAAAGACATTGAATTAATTAATCCATCAAAAATTATACGAATAGAATAGAAAAGTAGAGTGCCGTATTTATATTCGTAAAAAAAAACAAAATTATTACATTTCTCGTTGTTGCGTGTACTTTAATATCCACCTAAACATTTTACTCTGGAATTTTAATCGCCCCCCTGGCAAATTGCAACTCATAATTTACTAAGCTCTACCATGGCAGATTATTTCGTATACCTATAATTTTCACCCCGAGTAAACATTCTCGTATGCAAGCGTTAGTTTATTTTGAAAGTATGCACCACACTTTGGAACAGCAGTATGTACGCGCATACATTTCGTAATAAATGGAGAGCATACAATAGAATAAAACAGGAGGCCAGGGACTGGATGGAAACTGCCAGGATGAAATAAGAAGGTATAATAAATATGTAAAAACAGCGGACGGATGAAAGGAACCCCTCGTCCTTTTCAAATTTCCCAGTGGGAGTAAAGGAATCGCTCGGCGAATCAATTTTTCGTTGGAGAAAGATTGAAGGATAGAAATAGAAATTTAGGTTAAAGTGAGACTAGGATAGCCTGTAGATAACATGTGTTTGTTCAAAAATATTTGCTTCGTTAATTCTTTTATTCCATTGCAAACGAAATTCGTACAAAATTTAGGCAAATATTAGTATAAATTTCTACGATATTTATATTGGGCAAATATCATCGTAGCCTGATGTAATATTTGTATTGCGCAAACGTTAATCAGAATAACCGATGAAACCCGAATCTCATTAAACGAATACTGTAAAATCTGATTTTCTGTATGGAATTACAAATGATCACGATTAACGCGTACCTTATTGTTCGAGTCCGCTAATGAATGAAATTTATAAAAAACGATCTCCTTTTTAATCCAGTAATGCCTGGTTCAACCCCGTTTACTTTTATTTCATGGTTATTCGCGAGCAGCGGCCCGGAATTAATAAATGCTAATTAAAAATCTACTTCTTTCTCCTGCGAAGTCTTTTTACCCCCTCTCCCCCCTGCCTCTATTTCAGGTTACGCCGGTTCCGAAAGTATTTTAATATGCAATACAATCGTCGAAGCTACGACCAGAGGCAGGAACAAGTAACAATTCCAGTGAAAATAAAACTGGGAGCTCGCGCGATAGTATTACCGTGGAAATTCCCTTGTTTCGCGACTGAAGATTGTGAGATTCCAACGTTTATACTCCTAACATTCCTTTTTTATAACTGGTATTACTTTTCCCGTTTGTTGCAATCATTCGACGGTTTATGTACAATGTTAACATTTGCCATTTTTATAGGTTTTATGGTTTGCAGGAAAATTTTTAATGGCAAATTTAGAATAATTTAAAAATGTTACTGGAACGTGTATCAGTTTCAAAGTACTCACTTTATTTTTTTATGTGAAAATATGATATAGCGTAAGAAGCTAATAAGTTAGTACACAATTCCAATTCAATTTAAATTATAATTATTACATTTTATTTCTCTGTGATTTTTCGAACAACATTAATCTGATGTTAGTGAAAGTTTATCGTCTATACTCGATCATATTTCCATTCGATTTCACAATCGTCGGAACTTTGAATTAATCTCTGCTTAAATATATGAATGAGCTAACAATAGTTTTAGCAGACGGATGTCGTTGGAGAGGGTCAATAAAATTAGGAAAATGTCCTCCGCGCCGTGCCAATTTGCGCCAACACGCGTCACAAATTTTTTTAGCGTTGGTGTATATGCCCCACCGTGTTCTGAAATGTTCACGAACGACGATATCCATTTCTTTATGGAGGACAGGGAACCTGCACGGTATCCTCGTACCGTTTCCTTCCGAGTTATTGAACTAACAATTCTCCACCTTCGTTTTTCCGTGTTTCCATAAAAGTATCATAGCTCGACCGTTAAAAGTAACATTCAATTACATTTTATGCAAAAAATATGACCGAAGTTCCCTTAGTGGCGCATAAATGAGAACGTGCGGGAGATACGTGAACGAATAAGTGGTGAACAATTTAAAACCACGATTTCACGTGGAATTGTTGCCGATACCATGCGGATCAATAAATCCTCTATCAGGTTTCAAAATAAAATCGGAACGAAAAATAAAGAGACGGAATATTTCTACTAAATAGAAATTTAAAAAAATCAAGAAATAAATCTACGCGTGGATCTCGAACCCGAAGGCTTCGTTAGCTTCGTAATAAATCCTTCCTGTTCCGAGTGCATCCACGGATCGATCTTCATTCAACGAAATTACCAGCGTGAAATCGGCTCGCGCGACAAAACTTTCCGCGAAACTTCGATGAATCATCCGTAGCTGGACGAAACAGACGAAGAGTGTCGCTCGTTCCACTTGGCAGAGGGTTCAATGAAATTTCCGCTGGACAAAGGGACGGTGAATGTAATTGGACGCCGCGGAAGTTGGTGCAAAGTTCATCTAACTATGCAGTAGTTGCAACTGCGACGCAACTTCCGCGCCTGTTTTAATGCGATTGTTCTTCGGGGAGGAGGGGGTCCTGCATTCCATTATGCCATAGTCCAAGTTCGTTATTGTCCAAACGATGGTTTCCAGCGTTTCGGCTGAAATCGAATCGAGAACGTCTCGTGAAAGAGTCACAAATTGTTGCAATGGGAATACGAGATTTCCAAAAGAGCCTTTACGATTTTCTTTCGTTAAATTATTTTTATTGCAATTTTATATGGACCTATTACGATCATTCTTTGGCTGTGATCATTTACGAAAATGCGATTGAATAAGGACTACGAAAATTGTTTGTACATACAAGGTATAGAAATTAATTCTCTGCTTTTGTACAATTAATTATCCATAACTTTAGCATAAATAGAAATATTTACTCGCTATTCTATTACATTGAAGTATCGTCCATCGTAGTAACGAAGCACAGAAAATACTTGGACGTTTTGTGTCTGAGGGAAAATTAAAATTTCATTGGTTTTCTCTTTAATAATTAAATGGTAATCCTTCGAAAACTACAAACTTGATCTCTACACCTGGTAATTCAGTTTTTCTCGTCATTTTCAAAATCAGAACACCACTTGTCTCTATTCCTCTTGATTTTAAACGGAGTTGCGAGGTTTGGTATTCCAGGAGCTTGAACGAGTTTCAGAGTAATAGACCGAATCGAGAAGTTCTTATCACGAGCGCTCCCCGATGGTACGAACATCCTCGAGGAGGTTGTAACCCCGTGAATGTATTCGAGAACTGATGAATAATGCATCGACTCGAGACATATGCAATCTTCAGAGATGGAAACTTGTACGTACAATGTCTGCGATCGGTGAAAGCTACTCGAACAATTACAGTCTAGGTAGCTTACATGGCTGTTGTTGATAACGCTGCTAAATATTATTCTATCTCTTGCACGCGACGCTTTGTATAATTTCCTATCTTATCGCTGTTGAAAATTGATTTACGTTTCACACCTTCGGTTGTCGCTAAAGTTAAAAATGTATATGTACGACGAAACTCTTCTTTACAAAAGAAGATTTCGATTTTTCAAAAGTACAACGTCGAAGGGAAAATTGTCAATAAATTGTTGGAGAAGAACTACTGTTCCTAAAATACAATTTTATTATAAGAAATAAGTATTCTTCTTCTCTAGATACTCCGATTTGTGTTTTTTGCTTTCACCACAAGACTTATTTTTCAATAACCAAAACATTGCTCTAAATTATGAAGAGTCTCGATTACGACAGAACTTTGAAGTTCCCATTTCCTGAAACGATCGACGTTCTATTATACCTGAAAACGTTGCTTTCCCAACGAGTGCGAAAAATTGCCATTTTTCCTTCCATATCGTTCCTTACCTTTCCTTATAAAATACAACCGACGAGTTAGCTCGTGGATAAGAACAACTAACATTTCCGATCTGTACGCGTAAACGTTTCTCACGCGACAATTAATCACTCGCCTAACCGTGAAATTGATTTTGATTTCAGTGGCATCAGGTGATCAATGGAATTTACGAGGCTGGATACGCGATATCGTTGATAGCGTTGCTATTGTCGTTGGGCATCCTCACGTATTTCCGGTGAGTTCGTGACAATCTAGCATCGAGTTTCTGTTTCTACCGGGAACGTTAAAGAAACGCGCGATCGAATTAACCGTCTACAACCCTGCGCGACTTTGACGTGAAATTATTATTACCTTTAGTACATATCCGAAGCCTGATTCGATTCCATTATCGGTTATAATCGGACTAAAATTACCTGGAACGACCGTAACGCCACCTTTCGCGTTACAGTGCTCCTCGCAGTGTTTATCACCTATTTTCTACCCGCGATACTCGAACGTTTCTACTAGACGGTGTGTTCATTGTTCTTTCTTGAATGCAGCTCCCTGAGGTGCGCGAGGATCACTCTTCATATGAACCTGTTCGCATCGTTCGCTATGAACAACGCTCTCTGGCTGGTCTGGTACAGGTTCATCGTCGCGAACACGGTTTTACTGTTAAATAATGGGGTACGTGCGAAGACATCGTCGTCGTACCTTCACACTCCGCTCACTGGATACCCCTTGAGCGAGAAATTTATTTCAGAGCACATACGTGATTATTGCAACTAGTCTCAGGAAGTAATTATAGAAGGGAGGAGCAATTAACTCCCTCTGCAACAATATTACGATAAATTGATGCGAGTGGAAGCTGAACTCTGTAATCTTTTGATGACGTAATATTTTATTTTGGTGCAATTTATAGGACAATCGCACATTGGTAATATGCGCAATATGCATCTCCACAAACTGATCGCGCTCTTGTATCAAATAGAACCATGCGCTATTTTTCGATAAATAAACGCCATTCTGCGTACGCTGCATTTTTCTCGACATACGTATTTTTCTTGTTTATCGTGCCATAATCGGTGCACTATGCATTCGTACAATCTCCTGGTATGTGTTTTTAAAGTCGCACGGTTGCGTTCGCAGCCCTATGTTCCAATTGATGTTCGAGTAGGAACTAATTGCTCGAGTATTTCTGCAGTATATTTTGAAATGTAACGAAAATGTAAAGGAACGGGTAGACAATGTTCGCCGGAGTGGTAGAACGTTTGAATACTTTCTGTGCGTTGCGCCTGCATCGTTGCACCAGAACACAAAAAAGTATATCTTCAAAAGATGGTCTCCCACCCCCACCCCTCCCCTCTCCCCAATTAAGGGATTCAGCGTTTTCCTGCATCAATTTTTTGCACGTCCTAGCTTCTACAATCACCCTGTATACACATATACATAGTATACACACGTTGTTCATGCTGTTGTTTTTATCCTGTTTGCATTCATTGTCTGCGAATTTTTCTAACCTTCTACGGTAGACAGTTTCTTTATTTCTAATTGAAAAATTAAGGAATACACTAACACGGAAACTGACAAATACACTTCAGACTTGGTCTAACAATCGCTCAACTGTTAACACGATTGCTATGACTATTATTATATATCGTAATACAAAGTTAATACATACGATGATGGATCACCACACATCGACCTCTCTAGTTTTAGCGTGAATACTCGCAACTGAACAAAATAGTTACATTTAAGAAAAAAAGAATGACAATAATCAAGTACTTTCATTTAAACTGAATCCGTGAAAATATCAATACGCATAAACATCCGCATCAGACATTTTCTACGTTACAATTAAATACAAAAAAAAAAAAAAAAAAAAAAAAACTATCCCTAAGAGTATACAATACACTATTCACGTATCTATATTTTATCTTCCTCGTACTGAAATATTTCTGAACGACAGTATTCCGATTTTCAGGTGATGTGTCGCCTCTTGCATATCGTGCTGCACTACTTTTTGCTCACCAATTACGCCTGGATGTTGTGCGAGGGTTTTTACCTTCACACCCTGCTCGTTAGCGCGTTTACCAGCGAGCACAAGCTAGTAAAATGGCTGATGGCACTTGGATGGCCGGTACCTGCAGTGATCGTCACGATTTACGCCAGTCTGAGGGCGATAAGTGACAACGCCGCGGACACTGAACAGTAAGTAACCTGGAAGTCGCTAAAACTTCAACGTTTGGCCTTTTAAACACCGTCACAGTTTCACCGATCGACCAAATTACTATTTCTATAAAGACCCGTCGTTCTAGGAAAGCTACTGACCGATGCTTCTGACGCGTCTGACCAATGCTCCCTGCTTCTACTTGCGTCGGCACTCGTACTAGTAGCGATCAGTGAAAACAGACGGTTCTCCAATATTTTTAACCCCAAAAACCCCAAAAACCGTGAAACTCTCCTCCAAGTCGTTCCAGAGTTTGTTGATCGGTCGTGTACGCCTGAAATACGCGTAAATAGTTGAGCCACCGTAGCTGGTAACGTCAGTGTCACCAGCAAGCGTGGCGTCGTCCTGTTCAGGTACGCGTGGAATTGAAGAGGAACCGCACGACCGTAGCGTCCAGCGGAGCGTAATGCCAAGCGACCGGCTACCGTTAATTTCGTACTGTACCGAGCGATGCATCCAAGTCGGACGGTGCAGACGGTGATACCCGGGGCATTCTGTAATCACCGCGGCGTTCCGTGAAAGCAGCACGCGCCTGGACCGCAGAAGCCAAACCAAGGCAATTGTGTTACCGTCACTTGCCCCGGGGACAGCCGCGTCACCGAAATCACTAATGAACAAAGAGATTCTGTCGCAGTAAATTAACGAGCGTCGCGGATATCACCGTCCAGTCTCGCTGTTGTAAAACTAACCGTGAGTTATTGGCTTACGCGATGCCGACGGAAACGTTACCGATTCGTGGACGATTCTGTAAAGCGAAGACGGTCTCGTTGATTCGCGGCGTTCTCGAAGTCGACGACGATGGTCCGATAACAGTCGATCGTTTAATTAAACGCCTCGATGATCGCAGGTGTTGGATCAACGAAGGCAATTACATGAACGTCCTTGTTTACCCCGTCTGCGTTTCCACTCTTCTCAACCTGCTGTTTCTCTTCAACATCGTGAGGGTGCTGTTGATGAAGCTGAGGGCAGGTCCCACGATCGGCACTCAACCTTCCAGGTCCATGCGACAGGCATTTCGGTAATTAACAGAAACGACGATCTTGTTTTACATGCGTATACAAAGTCTAATTCGTTTAAATGGTTATAAATTCGATGGTTCTATACTTTGCACTAGAGCAACGCTGCTTCTCGTACCTCTTTTGGGTCTACACTATCTGGTCATCCCCTTCAGACCACCAAAAGACCACCCTTGGGAAAAATTTTACGAGGTTCTCTCCGCCATAACGGCCTCGTTTCAGGTAAAGTACCAGAGAGTGAATACTCTCCATAGAAAATTAAGTACAACCTTCGCCAAACTTTACTTGTATTAACTACCGTTGCATAATCAGGTTACCGAATTTACTATAAGTTTCGTGCAACATAAAACGCATTCTGTTTATATCAGCTACTGTTGCATAGTGACGTTAGAAAATTTATTTATCATGTTTTTTACTTACTCCGTTATTACTGAAATGTTTTACATACATGATCCATGACTGTATAGAATATGTATCAAAGTTTAAAGTTCGCAATTGTATTCGAAGTTTTTATGTTATACTATGTGTAATGTACCGACTGTGGAAAGATGCATCATACTTTGTATATTTCCTTATCTTTACTTTCGATAGTAACTATTTTTATAGTTAACTCAACAAGTCTTCGAGACATCTGCAAAAATACTGACCTTTATAGCAAAAATACTCATAGAAAATTTCCTACAATACTTGTAACAGTAAAAGTAACGATTCTGTATACAAAATGTACAAAATTTTCACTGGATTAAAATACTCTTCGAAGCTTTGTTCGTCGCTATAGCTACACGAAGTAAAGGAAAGAAAATATATAATAATCATCCGCTGGCGTAATCCACGCGATTAACGATCGATTCTCGTTCCGCAGGGTCTCTGCGTGGCCATTCTGTTCTGTTTCTGCAACGGAGAGGTAAGAAAACGTACCCGTCGCTCCTCGTGGCGTTTCGAATTAACGTAAACGCGGGAAACAGGAACATTTTCATTAATAAAACGTCGCTCATCCCCAGGTAATAGCGCAATTCAAGAGGAAATGGGAGGGCACGGCTCTTCTGCGAAATCGTGCCAATTCTTGCACAGCCACGACGGTCTCGGTACGGCAAACTCACAAGACATACAGAATTCACGGTTCCCATAGAAATGAAAAACGTCTTAATGAAACATCGTTTCCACGTTCATATCGTCCTCCATTCGTTCTGCGTCTGCCTCCTTTTATCACGATCCCCGTTCATAAATATTCACGTAGCTTCAACACGGCTTACGATCGCATGGCTGCGTAAACGTTCCGTTGCTTTCGTTAACGACAGCAAATGTGAAGATCGTTCGTGTTCTCGATCCCAATTAAAGATTCGAGCAATGGAGAAATAACAAAATCCTATAATTCGGCCTATATTACATTTTCCATAACTTGATGAATTTTTATATAACTTTGTACACAAACTGAAAGCGACAGGATCATCTCGCGAGGCATTTGTAAAACATATTCATCGCTTCAATCGTGAAATTCATGCTTATGAAATCGTAGAGATCCCTTTGTACGCAGCACTTCGTTTCGATCACATTTTCGCTCCGTCGAATGCAGAGTATGGATATCATCTCATATATTTTCGAAGCCCATGGATTCCTGTCGATAGAATGGTACCCAAGCAACGAACCCACCATTATGTCCGGATGACTTGGCAAAAATGTTTCTGTTCGTACTGCATGAATGATTTACGGTAACGCGCATTGTATGTGACTAGCCAATATGCTGTTGAAAATGTTTGCCAATACCGCTGATAACGCTAAAGGTACGATTTAAGGATTTCGCTACACATACATTCCTTTTTCTTTACTGATTCAATAGAGTACCTTGCAACGGATTACTTATAAATTCATCCAACACCTGTTTTGTCTCCAGAATTTCCGCAAGCATCGCAACAAATACAAATACGCCAGAGATGGGCAAAATTCTGGTCTATTTAAAGATTTCCGAATAGCAAATAAAAGATAATAAAAGGTCATGGTTCGTATTAAGTAGACGAAAGCAAACCTTGTTGGGTAAAAATTGCGGTACAACTTGTACGATCGAATTACGATCCACGTACCGAACGAATAAAGCCGTACACGAGTAACTGTCTCGAATAATTTGAGTAGGATTATGGCCATCTCTGTAACACGCAACGCGAGCAAACGTAGAGATACGACTGCACGGCTGGTCAATGGTGCGATACGGACTGAGCAAGTCCAACTAATCTGTACTAACACGTCGCCTCTAGCTCCTAACACGTCTTGAAACGGGGAATGAGTACTGCTAACAAGTAACGAATGTAGAGAGAGTGAGAACGAGAGAAAGGTTGTCCGTGTCGTACCAATGACAACGTGCCCGAGTCAAGTCCATTGTGGGACGTTGACTGTTTCAGTTTATCCGCTCGACCGCAGGTCCGGTGGCGGGAGAGGAGAAGGTGTGACTATCAGTCGTCCGCTCCGGAACAGCTGGACGTGAATCCCGTCGACAGTCAGCAAGCCGTGCAACTTGTCGCCGCTTGTCGAGTCGCCAATAATCTCAACGATCACTCCAGACTGTTGGTCAGGTCCAGGGACTCCATCAAGAGCTACGAGCAGACACAGTGTTGATAGTTCCAGTGACACCAGTGAACTCACCGTGAACCAGATGGACGACAACTGGTTGCGAGACGTCAGACATTGTCCAAGATTTAAAATTGGGTTTGACGAAGGCAGGATGACTGTAGGAAGAACCTAATAAGAGATCGATAGGGCAAGATCATTTTCTGAGTATGGTGAAGCCTGTGAGAGGAACAGTTGTTGAACTCACTGTGAACCAGTTGGATGTCGTCTGTGTTGGATGACATCGCGAGGATCAAAAGTTGGGTCTGCTTGTAGGTGAATGGGTGTAAAGAGGACCTAATCTGAGGATGAATGAGTGTTGATAACTTAAGCGCAAATATATTAAAATAAATTGTATATAATTGAACATTTTAACAGGCTAAGGAATTGATACAATGAAACTATTTAATATAATTTTCATTTAGAGAAACGTATTCTTGGGAGTCTCGAATATTTTTGAAGTAGCGTTAGAACAAACCAAAAACAAATGATGAAAAATATTACCCCGTTTATCCGTGTATGTATATTTCATTGTTAAATTATATATTAACGATCGTTGTCAAAATTGATAGATATAGACTTTACCAAACCAAAGTATAATTTGTTGATTCTTAAAAAGGTTTATTGTACAAATATTTATTTAATCGCTGTTAAAGATGTTTTTGTAAGATATATTTAATTGAGCTCGTAAGAATTTTCGATATTTTTTCTGTAATATTTAATTTAAATAATCTTTCGCCAAACGCACACCAACCCCCAAGAAAATAATTTAATAACTAATTGACTGCGGATTGGTACTTACATAAAAGAGCTTTCGTACTAACAAATAAGTTAAGGAATACAACGATTCTTAGTTTATGCACGCATGGTCATGGTACGATATACAGTGTTTCAAAAATGGATGTCGCAACGTAAAGGAATCGATGTACGCGGAAAACAATCGTTCTTGTATGACCTGTATGATCTATTGTAATTTCTGAGTTATCGAAATAAATGTTCCAAGTTGCTATTTTTCTGATAACACAAGCTTTTTATGTAAGATGTACGAAATAAATTTTGTTTCACTACACAGGTTTTTAAACATCAGAATTTATTTATCGCTACATCGCTGATGGTACTACATCTTCAAGGAGAATAGGATTACAGTAAGTCTTGTCTGGAAGAATACAGCTTTTATTCGGTGACAAAAATAGTGATTTTGTAGAAAACATTCGTCGTGCTTATGTTTACTGTACACATGAATATCGCTAAACATACAACGAAATTTATAAGAAGTTTTAATGCATAATGATTTACAGATCAAACTAGGAATATAATCCATAATCGTAAGGTCACCGATTGTGTTCTTTTCACACAAACTGTTGTTTCCTATTTTTAACATAGAATATATTTGAACCTCGAAATTAAAAGGCATGTACGAAATGGACGGTTAAGATAAAAATAAATGTCTCTTGTTACATGCTACATACCTATATACCTCCATCCCTTACAATGTTAACAAAATACATATTGTAAAAATAATGAAAAATAATTTAAATAATAATTTCTTACTTTAACTATCAATAAACTATTACAAGCACTCGGAGTCATATTAATAAAATTCGCAGGAGTAAAAGTACATATGTTTATAAATATACATTTAATTAAATATGTAAATAAATACACAGATTTAATTAAATATTCAATTAATTAAAGATTGTATTCAATTAATTAAGTATTTAATTAAACATATTTTCTTAAGGCCAAATTAAGTTTGCTATCCTCGGTAAAGTCAGAGCGACCACGACGCTCGATAAAAGATTGACACTGTGATTGTCCAAAATTTGTCTACCGCAAATATGTTTTATCCCTTTCCCAGGATGTTCTACTACAACTCCGTTATCATTGATTCCTATAATAGAAAACCACCTGATGAAATGTATCGTACGATGCAAACTGGATTTTCCGATTTACGAAAAAAAAAACACAATTTACCGGAATACTGTAAAGTAGCTCCTAGAATAGAATCTAAGACACTACCAAAGAAACCTCCAATTCCTCCAACAACAATAATAGGCCACTGCGGTGCAGCTAGTTGAATCACAGCCGTGTCTACAGTGTATAGTATGGTTAAGTAATAAAACAATCCGACTGTCAAACCACCGAGCGCGGAAACTAATAGACCCACCCAAGAGACACCACCATTTGTTCCTGTAAACAAGACGAACGTTATTATATCGCGGAAACCTTTGAAATTACAATTTTAATATACTTACCCCTCGGTACTCTTTTTCTCGTAGTAATTAGAAAAGGATCTCCACTACCGACAACCGTTCCAATTTCGGAAGCCCACGTGTCACCGTTACAACACGCGAATGCTCCTAATTACAAGAAATTAAAATCATTAAATGTTTTTCTACCGAATAATTTTTTGTATCCCGACAATTTCTCTGTGTACTAAAACACAGATTATCGTTCGCTTGTTGATGTACCTAAAATTCCAACAGACAACCAGGAACCTCTATAATTCTTATCAAAATCGATAGGTCGTTCTCCGCAGCCTACATCCAGTAAATACAGAAGCGCCAATTGCGTCGCCATACCCCCATTGCACAACACTTGAATCCAGGTCCTTTGTCCACCTTCCTTAAAATCGGATTCAAGCTTTTTCTTTCTGTCGGAACGAAATTTTGTTGCCTTGGAAGAGGTAACAAAGAATGAGAAGAGACAAGCCAGATGAGCGTAACTTGTTAGTGTCAGAATAAAACCCATGAACATGCCTGTAACGTAACATTCAGTGACCTCTTTAAAACATACAAGGATCTCTCAAACGAAACCTGCACACAGTAATTGCGTACCTCTTCTCTAAATATTACAATATATTTTAGTAAATGTTTCGCAATTTACTTCTTACTTTAGGCACGCCTGCCATAACAATCATTTTATCTGAGTTGTACCAACGACTAACAATCATCCTACTCGATTTTATGTAATATATACTTTGTCTATAATATATAATCAAGTTTCGTGTGATCTGTATTCTCTTCCATCGTAAATTTTAAAAAACAATTTATTACCAAGAAGAGCACCGCTGATGTTAACACTTTTCTTCCTCCACCCCCAAAACGCTATAAAAATAGGAATCACGACCGCAGCTAACCACCTCCATGGTGACACCACCAGATGCTCTAAAAAGAATAAGGTTATCTGGATCAAAACAACTCATTCAGAACAACAAATACACAACAAAAGACAAACTGAGATTAATTTATTAACATACCTTCGAAGTGGTCCGCAGTATCCGGATGAAAAGTCGAATATATCACGTTTATGATCCATAAAAGCATAGAAATTGGAATTGCACAGGCACTGAGGAGTACCGGCATTAGTACGTAAGATTGTCTGTTCTCTTTTTTCGTCAACAAAGCCATTATTTAAACACTCGATATAAACACTAGTTAGTGGATTAAAGCACTAATTTCAGTTCAATTGACATGGATAGTAAATTCGTAGATAAGAGTAAGGATCGTGTCGTAACCAGTCGTAGCAGTTTGTACTTCTAGAAGAGTCGTGACCAATAAAAAAAACTAAATCTTATTTGCATTTCAAAATTATTTCTATTATTAGAACGTCAAACTGATTAACAGAATATGCATATATATGGAATTTGGAATTTATTTCAAGACCAATATGTTCATAATTTTTTATGTTTCATTAGCCTATATTAAAATTGGTTTTTGTGCGAGTGGCACCATCGGTGGGGAAACACCCAAGTTTGTAGTGAAAATAATTTACACTGTAGCCGCTAGATGGCGAGTGATCGAGTATCAGTGGCGCCATCGGTGAGAAAACGCTCAAGTTTGTTGAGGAATAGTTTATACTTCTAACGCTAGATGGTGTCACTTACATTGTTGTCGCCATCTAGCGTCAAGAATGGAAACTAATTTTACTACAAACTCTTCCTACCGATGGCGCCACTATACGATAAATACTGTGACGTCATCTAGCGTTAAAAATACAAAACCATTCCATTACAAACTTGGTCGTTTTTCCATCGATGGCGCCACTGAATTGTTTGTTTGTTTGTTTAAATTAAAATGCGTACATTCGTAGTAGTACTTCGCACTACTATGTGATGCTCTTTTTTTTACTGGCTATCCTTCTTATAACTAACCGCAATAAGGAAAGACATAAAGCGCCACTGAATTATATATATATGCACATACATTTCAGAATATATAAAATTAGCCTTACGCGTTATTTTGATATATTGTAGTATAAGGCGAGGAATTAAAATAATGCAAATTTAATGAAAACGCCGAAGATTACATTGAGGTATATACAGAATGAACTTAATTTAGTTAACGATGAGAATGAAATCGTAAGAAACACGAATAGAGCCGAATACTGCGATCTGCCGTATTGTATATAAATGTATGCAACGTGGAGGTGTCTCCTTACATTTTAAGAAATCGACGTAACGAAATTATCAACTCTACTCCTATTTATGGAGTTTTAGAAACATGTATTCAATGTTAAAACAAAATAACTCGTGTAACAATTTCATTATGATACATATCAATGGAACGTGTTGTACTGATCAATGTAAAACATTTTAACAAATCGAAAAGTTTTCATTTTGCGACGGTGATATAATCAAAGCATACACGCTATATGAGCGGCTTAATGACTGTAATCTTATTTATATCTCTAGAAAAAGTATGTATATCGTGTTTAATGTACCAACAACAGTAAATATTAACATGTAACAATTTCGAGATGTTCTTCATCCGGGTATATTTTAGGAAATTATAAATGATATATTTATTTTCGATTTTTTGTCAAACTCACGATAATCCGTATAAATAATTGTTACAACTGTTTGGTATAGTTTAGAGTTACATAGAATAAATGAATAATTCGCTAGACAGTATACAATTAAGTGTAAATCATATAATGCTCTATATCGTTAATCGAAAAACTACCAGACTTTTTCGTAATTAACTTGTTGGCAGTATATCAATTTAAAATGCGATATTATTTTCTCTATGAAACCTTCGACCGAAATTTGGAAAGCGGAAACGTAAGTCGTTTGCTCGTCGCGTATCCGGAAGCAAGTTACAGGAAGAAATTATTAATATTATCGTTACACAAGAAAAAAGTTATATAAAATACATTTTATCAGTGTTGAAATTAACTTACAGTTAAATCAATCACATATATATATTTATATACGATAAGCCTCTAAAGTTAAGTGTATGGATAATATCGATAATAGAATTTTGAACAATTTTGAGACAATAGTTATCCCAATATGTAGGATGCAACCGTCTTCATGATTTTTGTATCGAAAACAACGTTAAAAAAAGGGGGAAAAGAAAGAAAAATTGAAGAATCGAAAGAATATTCAAATATGATTTAGACAAAATAAGTATCTCTCGTATAGCTTAATACGCTAAAAGGTTCGCGTTAATGAACAAGTATGACCTGTAATATGTTATTACGATCACGTAGAAGCGAATTACCCGATTCGTCTGGAATTGCTAATATTGCAATCACTTTTCTTCTTCGTGAGTTTTTGGGGCATGTAAAATATATAAATCTACTATCTTTATCTTGTCATATTTATCACCGTGTAGAGCTAGCTAGCGTCTTACAGTTTTCATATTTTTTTTTTTTTTCATTATCATTAAGGTATATTATAAATATTTTATAAATGGGCGAAGTAATGTTACACTATATACAAAAGTATGATGATAATTCTGTCTATGGAGAACTAAATATGCAAACGCAACGGACAATTGCATTTTACCAATAACAGTCTCAAAGATTGCAGTTCATAATTTTTTTTTTTTTTTGTATCATTTTCAGCTTAACGTATAACTGATTTTCGGTTTCTCATTGGTTAGTGAAGCCGCCTCAGTGTCATCTGCAGGACTTGTCCTACGTATGTTCCGTACAACACGAAAGAACGGCAGTTTCGCAAATAAAAGTATCGAGGGACTAATTTTTGCAATTCAAGAAAAGCTTTCTCGATATTTTTACTACGCGTTAAGGACTTATGGTACACCATCATACCGTAAAAAACCTGTTCCTACGTTATAAATCGTTTGAATATTATATTAAATGTACACAGGTCCTCCATTTTTTTTTTTCTTTTGAAATATTTCTAACCTCTTCTTAATCGATTTTTGTCGTTAGAATGTGGCGGTCAACAGATTTATCGTACATTTCGATGGTATAAGTACAAAAAAAGAAAAAAAAAAAAAATGAAAATTTTCTGTTCACTCAAACACTCCACTATAGTGGTCCGTAACGTTCGATCTGAATTTATCGATAACGCGAGAATAGTGTTAAAAAGAAAGTTCCATTAACCATGGATATAAAATTACCACACTCTAAACATAATTATCATTTGTACTTGTCATAAATCATACGTGAAGAGGAATATTTATAATTGTCTGTTAAATAGTGCTCTCGTTCACCCCTCGGTGTCCAATGGTACTGAATCAACTAGCAAGAATATGTAATGTGTCATGTAGATTCATCCAAGTTTAATAAATATATGAAATAGAGTGAAGAAATTACTGTTTTAACGATTCTCGGTTAATAGAAATATTTTATCCGAAATATTTTCTTCGAAGAGCAAAATCATGGAATACGAAACTCTCGAGTATGAAAAATCACTTCCAATACATGCCTATAGTGACTATAAAATTACACGATCACGTATTATCACCGCACAGTTTTATACAACTCAATTATTAAAGACTAAACTTTTACTTCGTACCTTAAGTAAACGTTACCTCTTCTTCCGGAACTATGCTTTCTAATGGTACAGGCTCCGCGAAACCACGAGCTATTAATTCATCGGCGAGGGATATGACCTGTGACACGTAACAGTAATTTTTACGTAAATAGAGTATCGTTATATTAAAGAAATGTTTACTTTATAATACTCACTCCGTGTTTCTGAATATTCAGATAAACATTTACATATATGCATGTATCTATGTAGCCTTCAATTTGAGCTTGGCCGACAATACCGGAACACATATGAGCAACTACATCGTAAGCCTCTTGAGTCCACTCACCTAATGCAGAGTACGTGATTAGATAATCGTACGATCGAGGAGAAAGAAAAAAACGTACAACGATAATTTACCATTTTTCGGTTGTATGTTTGCGAGGAATACTTCGATTGCTTGCAACGGCAATCCAAGATAATCTGACCTAATCTTCTTCATCTCTGCGCTACTGAAAAACCAATAGCCACCATGATCGACGAGCCGCACCAAGTGTCGTTCGCCGAGAGGGTCTGGTTGCTCTACGTATACCCTAACCCACCTATTGTACCATTTTGCAACGAACATCATACCCTCTGCAAGTGATAACATGAAAACTTAATAAATCGCAGCCGAGTAATAAAATAGAATATGATAGAATATAAACGTACTACTAAGTTCATCTGGAATTGGCGGTGATTCTGTCGTATTATATAATAGTGTCATATTTTCATCTAAAAGTCGCAAGGATGGGTATGTGGGGTGAGTGGGAAGCTGCACGAAGAAGCGATTTGGTTTTACTATGTGACATATGACAACATCGTTTGTTAGTCCCTCCACCAAGGACAATTGTATTAACTCTGCGACCCACGCGTTCTCGTTTAATACTTTTAACGGTAAAATTTGCTCGAGAGTCACGTCCGGATACTTCTTCGCTGGAAACTTTTGTCGTATCATGTCCAGAGCGATGTTAATCTCCTCCGTGGAACCTTCTATGGCACAAATTTTCTGATCTCTCAATGTGTGATGACGTTTGACGATTATGTAGACCTCAGCTTTTTCGCGAATGCTTTGTAAGAAGCTACCGTTACGACCGATCAATCTCCCAACCAGGTGCTGCGGGATGTTAAATTCGTATATCATGGGGAGAGTACTGTCCTTTGCGTGGCCCTTGATACTTCCTCCTAGAAAAAGTATGCGAGTATATTATTTACTAAAATAGAGAGCAACAACTTCTATGTTAAACATTTCAATTAATTCTCGGCTTTACCCTTTCCGCTGTCCGTGCTCCCTTCGCTCCTGGCTTCATCCGTGACGCTGCCTTCTAAAACCCCAGATACTGGGCTGTGATTAGCAGAATCTCGTTCGGATAATGCTTGTGCCTGCGTCTTGACGCTATCTTTCGACGGAGTAGCAACTGGTGGTTGTTTGCTTGAGCTATAATTGCATTGATCGTTCGCGTTGTTCTCCTCGCATTTATCCGCGATCACCGATGTACTCTTCTCGTGGCTAGCAGTTGATTCTTCCTCTTCGGCGACATCTTCGAATATCTTCAATACTTTGCCAGTGGAATCAACGGCGTTCTCCAAAGAGGACACGCTTCTGCTCCTGGCGACCATGTCGAAGTTGCTAGTTTTAGGATTGCTGCCCAATTGTATATCCATTTTGTGCGATGATGAATCCAGATAGCTGTACCATGCTTGCTCGTCCTCGGGTGTTCTTGATCGCATGGAAGCAGGCTGCGAGCCGATCTTCCTCTGAGGAATATCCAAGCTCTCGCTCCTCTTTCTGGGGCTACAAACGGTTTCTTCTGTTGATTGACAAGAAGAACTCACTGAGAACGACTCATCGATATGTATCCCCGAATCGCAGAAATTCAAGCTGGTCTTTGTAACTTCCTTTTCGTTACTGACGAGTTCCTGGCCGTTGCAATCTGGATTATTTATTCCACCTGGATCAGCTCTGTCCACTCGGCGACGCTTGTACCACAGAAGGCCAATTATTAGCGCGAGAGCGGGGAAACTCCACTTTACAATTTGGATGTGAGCAGCTGACATGTTTCAAGTCCACCGTAGCTATTGTTATCGAAGAACCGTTTATTCTGGAATGAAAAATCGTTTACGTAATGTTGGCTCGAATGATTACAGGTTGTAGTAATGACCTATGGTTATCCATTTATGAAACTAAATTAGCGTTTGGTAGTAACCAAATTAACCGTTTAAACTTGGTCGAGTTTTACGTTTCGGGGTCTCTACGGAACAA